TTCAAATTAAGTAGGACTAAAATTTTATTTATATATAACAATTTCAGTAATATTAAGGAATAACTGAAGATGTAGTAATATTGGATGGATAAAAAGTTCCCATAAATAAAAGTTCTATGTCTTGGATCTATTATTCAACATGATGGTAAGATTGATGACAATATTATCCATAGAATAAAAGCCCCCACCGTTAAAGTGAAGAGGGGTGATGAGGGTTTTGCATAGCTATTGTGTACCCTTTAGATTCTAAAGGAAAACTTTACAAGTAACTGTGAGCAGCAATGTTCTGTGAAGTGAGTGTGTGTTGTTAAAAAGCAATATATACAAAGAGTTTGTGTCCTTGAGATGAAAAAACATGAGGTGAACTGTGAAGTTATGGGAAAAGATTAAAAAGAAATTTCTTTAATTGTGGACAACTAGATGTGCCTCTAATAGAGAATAAAATAAGGGACCAGAAAATATCATAGTTAAATGAGGTAAGAAGAAAACTTACTTGAAACCATAAATAAATGTTTGAATGTTCTTGATCTAATTAAGAATATTATACTTAATGCAAATCTCAGTGGCCGAAAATATCCATGTTGTTGAATATTGTTGTTGTCATTGCCTTAGGATCATAGGAATACTTCAATTTATGTGTGGCAAAACTAATTATGTTAACTTTACAATGATTATATTGTTGTCAACCTCTATGCTCATTGTTGTTTGATCTGACAGTTATAACATTTGGTTTGTTATATCCTTTAGTATTTTTTTTAAAATTTATGTTCTTATTATATCAGCCAATCCTCGTTATATCTGTTTATTTGGATGCACACTATATTGATTTTGCTGTCACTATAAAATATGCAGGCAGAGAAAAGGGATGTAGTTGGCCTGCAAGAACAGGTAGACTGTGGGCATCTTGATATGTACTCCATTCTTCTCTAGTTGTTGGATTGTTTTCTGAGAATCATATTTTAACAACCCTTGAATTTCCAGGTTTTTGTTAGAAAAGTTATTGAGCTGCATGACAAGTACTTGGCATACGTGAATGACTGCTTCCTGAATCATTCCCTTTTTCATAAGGTTCGTTGTGTGTCACCGGTAAATTTATATTCTTGTTTTTTGACTAAATCGTGTCTGTCACTTTTAGGCTCTCAAAGAGGCTTTTGAAGTTTTCTGCAACAAGGGTGTTGCAGGCAGTTCAAGTGCTGAGTTGTTGGCCACCTTTTGTGATAATATCCTTAAGAAGGGTGGAAGCGAGAAACTCAGTGATGAAGCAATCGAGGAGACATTGGAGAAGGTAAATACCTTGCTTTGTGTCCATGCTGCTTCCTGTAATTCTCTTTGCCACTTTCTCTATCTCATGTTGCCCCGTCCTTTTCTCCACTTTGGGATGCTATTAAATATAATAAGTCTACAAATCATAACGTTCTATATGTGCATCATGCAGGTTGTAAAGTTGCTTGCTTATATCAGTGACAAAGATCTCTTTGCCGAGTTCTATAGGTGTCTGACTACCTCATGCTGAGATATATAATCTTTTTGCATTAATATTACCAGTATTGACACTGATTCTGATATCAATTTGCAGAAAGAAGCTTGCTAGGAGGTTACTTTTCGACAAAAGTGCTAATGATGATCATGAGAGAAGTATTTTGACAAAGTTAAAACAACAATGTGGAGGGCAGTTTACCTCAAAGATGGAGGGCATGGTCTGTACCAGCAATTTAATGTGTTGTTTATATTTGAATTAGTGAATTGATGTCTTGGGTTTGTTTTTCAGGTGACTGATCTAACCCTTGCTAGAGAAAACCAAGCTAATTTTGAGGACTATCTCAACAACAACCCTCATGCAAATCCAGGAATGGATCTAACTGTTACTGTTTTGACGACTGGGTTCTGGCCAAGTTACAGAACGTCTGATCTCAACCTTTCTGCTGAGATGGTTAGGCGAATCACTTCCCTTTTTTTATCATTTAGATTTTAATTTTCACTGACAGTCTTAATATGAATAGTTGACATTTAATCTTTTCCAGGCTAAAAATTCCAGTTGGTCTATGCTAACTTAAGGATATTGGAAACTCTTATAATGAAGATACTCATATTGTGGGTTATACATGGACATGGTCTTCACTGAATAAGTGCATATTAGTTACAGTTGGCCTAACTTAAACTGTTTTTTCCTCGTATTATGGTCTCCTATCTTTTTTATATGTTAAAGATACCAGTTATTAATTTGGTACTTGCTACAATCATCCCTTGTTGTGTAAAGAAGTTCCACTAATTTACTAACATCCATTTTTCAAAAGCAAGGATTGTAAGGATTATTTTATTAGGAAAGCTGTTTCAACTATACTGATCGTAATCATTTAGCTTGCACAAATCTTATTTTTAAGCCAAAACAAATAAAGAGCTAGCTGCCAACATATTTATGAGCCCTACCCTAGTCCCAATGCATCTTGATTAGTAGAAAGTAGAAACACTATCACCACATGACCTACCACTGGCTATTTGTGCCTTATTCGTTTGCTGTAATGTTGGCAGGCATCATTCTCTACCAACGTGTTCTTTTGTCTTTCTGACTTTTTCATGTATATTTGATATTGGTTGTTGACCATCAAGAAGCTTCTATGACAAAGAATGTTATAGAGAGATTTGTTTTTTTTTTAAATCCAAGCCCTCATCTTTTCTACTCTGTATTTTTTATTGTTGAACCAAAACCAAACCTTCTAGATCAGTCTTTTTCCAACGACTCTCAGCTTTAGGAAACTTACATTGAAGAATGGATAGACTGCTATATGCAACAGAGATAGATTCGAGTGGTTACCATGTGAATAATAACTATTTAAACTTTAAAGGTGGTTATATAATTGATAGAAAGGAAAACTTTAAGTATTTGATATGCATAGGAATTGAGGTATTACCATAATTGTTGTTTAATAACTAAGCAATTGTTAACTCTGAATGCTGCTTTCAGGTTAAATGTGTAGAAGTTTTCAGAGAGTTTTATCAGACAAAAACCAAACATAGAAAGCTTACATGGATATATTCTTTGGGGACATGTAACATCACTGGGAAGTTTGAGTCAAAAACCATTGAGCTTATTGTGACAACTTATCAGGTAGCTGCTGAGCTCCTTTATTTATTCATGTAAATTTGTCATGGATGCCAATGCTAACTGCAAGCATTTTTTTGATTTGTGTATAGGCTGCAGCCCTTCTGCTATTTAATGCCTCAGATAGATTGAGTTACTCAGAGATCATGACTCAGCTTAATTTGACCGATGATGACGTAATCAGATTGCTTCACTCCCTCTCTTGTGCCAAGTATAAGATTCTTAGCAAAGAGCCAAATACAAAATCCATTTCTTCAAGTGACATCTTTGAGTTTAACTCCAAATTCACTGACAAAATGAGAAGGATCAAGGTCATCATAACCTTCCTTGTGAAAGCAGAGAAAATCTTCCTTTGTTTTGCTACTTAATATGTTGCTTCCATTTTAGCTGCATATTTCTGAAAGCTCAATGGCTTGTGTTAAACTGCAGATACCTCTTCCCCCGGTGGATGAGAAGAAGAAAGTAATTGAAGATGTTGACAAAGACAGAAGATATGCTATTGATGCCTCCATTGTACGTATTATGAAGAGTCGTAAAGTTTTGGGTCATCAACAGTTGGTTTTGGAATGTGTCGAACAACTTGGTCGTATGTTCAAGGTATGCTGGTGTCTTCTTCATTTCGGTAAACCATGGCCGAAAATATAAATATTATCTAAATTAGAGAGGTCTAACATCATTCAATTTTGATATCACTTTATGCTTGTACCATATTATAATCCTTTATTCTCTTACCAAGGAGGTGACATGTTGAGCTGACTCATCTGACTAACTAACTAATTGGTGGCTATGCTCCGGTAGTGTATTGTTGTTGTGCAGTAGTCTACTGTTAATCCATGCATTTTAACTCATTATAGGTGATTGATTAATTAAAAGTACTGTTCTCTTTTAAATGGTTCTCATTAACTTTTATCATTTGTTGTTTGCAGCCTGACTTCAAAGCAATTAAGAAGAGAATAGAAGATCTGATCACCAGAGACTATTTAGAGCGAGACAAGGACAACCCAAATCTTTTCAGATACTTGGCCTGATTCACCTGATCTCCAGAGGAAACACCCATGCCCTTCACCTTTTCTTTCATGATTAAGACCATGGATGATACAGCTGTGTCAGCCTGTTGGTGAAATCTGTTGCTGTGTTCGCCTGACGTTGATGGCCGGTTTTTGAGACTCGGGGAGGGGCATCTTCCTTGTACATTCATCTTGAAACAAGGTGTAAGTACATCATCAATTTCTGCACCAAAGAGAAGTACTTTGTAGCACAAAATTCTCTAGTGTTATGTTGCTCATGACATTGGATATTTCATCGTGTGATTTCTGACCTTGGCTTACAATAATTTTATTCTCTTCTTTTGCTTCTTACATCGCATTAATTTGTTCTGGTATCATATGGTATGTGACTCCCAAAATGTTATGTAAATGCCAAGCAAATAAGATGATTGGTTGGTATTCGGAAGGGCTTTCCGACAGCTCAGGTTTCAATCCTCGGTGAAGCACTTCACGCCTTCTCTTATAGGTGTTAGAAAACACCGAATCCCTAAAAGTACGAAATTGAGGTGTCAACTAAATAATGAGACCATTAAAGCTGAATGTATAATGTGATTTTAGGATTGTTATGTTCGTAGATATAAATTAATAATAAGGGATATTTATACACATTCTTTTTCTACCCTGGTGGAGTCACGTTGCATCGCAAATATATTATCATTATTTAAACGTTTTATTATGTGTCTTAGATCGTGATCCCACTCCCATGCCTTTCCAACTTAGGGTACGAATCGAGTCCCACCATATGCAATTAATTTTGCTGTTTCAAACACCGAAGTAAGTTACTCCTATATATATATATATATATATATATATATATATATATATAAAGTCGTTGAAATGACAAAGAGAACCTCTTGGCGATCTCTCTTTTCCCAAAGATCTGTCGATCTTTTCCCAAAGAGAACCTCTTTGAACCAGTCGAGAGAGGAACCAGTGGTAGCGTTTGATCTGTCGATGCGCTTTGGGTTCAACGATTAGGCCAGGCGCGTCCTCCCAGGAGCTGCCTGATCGGAGCGGTGGTGACGGCGTAGACAATGTACAGCGGTTCCAGCGACGGCGAAGGCAGCGGCGGCCACGAGGCCGCGGCGGCGCCCAAGAAGATCCCGTCCGCATCCTCCATGCCCTGGGTCCGTAATCTGCGCCGGTTCGTCGGATCCGGTGCCGGCCTTGGCTCGGAAGCTCTCATGGGTCTGTTCCCTTCCTTCAATCTTGTCCTTATTCCCCATTACCATCATTCTTTCTTCTCGTTTTTCCCTCTGAGAGTTTCTGCTTGCTTGGGTTCTTTTGTGCTAGAAATATTTCTTGAAATTTTCGTAAATAATCGAGTTATGGGAGTGCTTCTTGGTCTCCTTCACTTCCAAATTGGAGAAATTTTTATGAAGATTCATGTCGGTCATCCGTTCAGAACACAAACGAGTATTTGGTGCAAACTGGGGTTGCAATTTTAAGTTAATTTATATTTTGGATTTAGCCCTAAGGACTTGAAATTGAAATCAGAAACCTGATTGGATCAATTTTATTTTAGGATTAGGATATATGTGATACTTAAGAATGTTATGGAAAATATATGAATTTTATTGTCCTGCGGATTCTGAAATACTGCAAATGAAAATTCAAGTGGCTAAATCTCTAGACAACATGAATTGCAAATTTACAACACTTGCAGCTGGTGATGAATAGATGCTGACGAACTTAATGCAATTCAATGAGTATTTTGAAGTCTCAAATGGACATTTTTCTCATTCTTACTTCTCTTTGGGTCAACTATGAAGTTGCACTAGTATGCCATGAGAGTATTTCAGAACACAGTCTAGAAATAGAGGGGTTTTCTTTATATATGATTCCTTGTATCTTCTATTTGTGTTAATTTATTTGTCATAAAGTTTTTTCCGTCACCTATATTCCAAAGCACGATTATCTTGCTTTGTCACTAAATTAGTAGGCCATGGGAGTTTTGAAAGTGTCAGCCAGCTTAGCTAGTAAATATTTTGACAGTTTATCACTTATTCTATACCAAAAAAAAAGAAAAAAAAGAGAGTATGTCTAGAACACAGGATAGAAATAGATGGTTTTCTTTATAAATGACTCCTTGTATCTCCTATCTGTGTTAATCTATTCGTTATAAAATTTTTCCCATCACCTTTATTCCAAAGCAGGATTATCATGCTTTGTTACTAAATTTGTATAATTTAGGACATCTGGAGACCTCTATGATATCTGACCAGGATAATATTTACATAATGTCGTTATATCAGAGGAATTTCCACCAATTAACTTAGTTATTCTAATTAACATGCTGCTGAAATTTGTTTATGGAAGGATTTAGGCTATTGGATAATTCCTTTATGTCCAGTTTGATAACTTTAAATTACTAGGCTAGAAAAACTTAGCATATAAACAATAAAATTTCTTGCTGTCATTCCATGAAACCTGATTATCTTGCATAATTGGATGAACCTTAAGTTAGGATATACAGATATTATTCAAACAATTGATAAGAGTTTCATAGTTCCTAATTTGGTAGTGGCCTTTGGAACAGCACATACTAAGTTTCTTACAAGGATGTGAAAAATCTATATAATCTGTGTTCCTTGTTTGTATTTTGAACCTCAAAAGCCACTGTCTCTTGAACACCAGACTTTTGAACCTCAAGCCAACTACATGCTTACATGTTTTGCTTGTTCCAATGCTTTATGATCTTGGTACAAAAATAATTTTAATGGATTTACTAGAAGCTTTTAATCAATACCTCTATATGGAGCATATCAATTAAACAATTTGCCTCAAGAAACATTTTAATTTTTTCAGAGCTTGAAACGAAAAGGATTTTGCTCGAGATTTTCAAAGAACGGCAACAGAAAAATGCACAAGCAGGATTGATCCCTAGCTTCTACAAAAAGGCAAGTTAGTTGATTAGTTTTAGGATATCCCCTCTGCCCTTTTATCAATATATTTAAAAGCATATAGAAAAAAATATTACATATAGGTTTGTTGATGGTTGTTTTGTTATGATGACATTCAGATCGGCCTCTTTTGCTCGAAAATTGATCCAAATTACCACTATTTTCGAAGTAATTGGTTTTTTGCCATGCAATCTTTCAATTCTGTTTCGATAATATATTTCTTTGTGAAGCAGAAGCCTGAAGAAGGATCAATCAGTCATAGGGTTCAAAGGTTGGCAAAGTACCGATTCTTAAAGGTATTTGGTCACACAGACAATTTTTTTGGTTGGTAAAACTTGATTATTATTATTTTTGTCATGTTGTGTTTTGAGAGATGCTAATAATGCATAAGGCTGAAAACATTATTGGTGTCTTTGGCTGCTGTGTAACTGTTTTTGTGCTCATCCTTCATCATGCAGAAGCAGTCAGAACTTTTACTGAATGCTGATGACCTTGATGCCATGTGGGTTTGCCTAAGGGAAAATTGTGTTATTGATGATGCTACTGGAGCTGAAAAGGTACACATGTATTTTCAAAAATTCATGAGGACATGCACTATATTCATAACTTTTCATGATTAGACATAATTGGGCATCTGATATATATCCATGCTCAATCACCTCGATCCTGTCTCCATTATGAGGTGAATTCTAACTTTTGTTACTCCTTTTTTCTTATATAATTTATCACATTGGCAAAAGACTTGACAATTTTGGTAAAGTTGAGAAACCTATTCCATGCAACTATGCAAGGATTGCAATCTTGTACTAGACCTCTACTGATCCCAGGCTGAAATGGTATGTACTGACTAATACCCATGTGTCGATTGTCAGTACATATGTATAGATTCTTCAAAATTTGGTTGGAAAATCAGCTGTAAATTAGAAAAAAAACTTATTTCAGGGTTCTTTCATCTACTTTCTTGGACTATACAATCAAAATAAATAAAAATAAAAGAAAATCTAAGCTATAAAACAACAAATATGAAACTGAATTGCTTAGTGGCTAAGGATTGAAGGCAAAAATTCTTAGCTCTATGGATCCATCGAAGAACTCGGTCGCTGGTTTCCACTCTGTCCATCAAATAAGGTTGCTTCCTTGGATTGATGCACCCCTTTACCCATGAGAAAAGAATGGAGAGGTTGGATTAGGTGTGGAAACTCTAAGATATGGGCAAAATAAGATAGTTTTCTAACCTCAGCATCCCTCTGCTTCTAGTACCAAATGAATGATGAGAGTCCATAGCCGGTGGATCAATGTCCTTGATCATTGAATTTGTATCACGTCTCGTAGACACAATGCCTCCAATGATAGATTATACTCATAAATGGTGTGCCATTGATGCATCAATAACATGCAGTAGGAACCTCCTTAGGGCAAAGTATGATTGTGGCATGTAGGCCTGTGGAGGCTAGAGCATATTGGAGTTGTATCTATTGTCATTAAACCATTACTCTATGGTGTAAGATCGATCTGACTGAAAAAATGACTTCAGATGGATCAAGCAAAGATCCGAATGGTTAGATCCCTGAATCCCTGAAGATCTTGATTCGAATGGCTCTAGGCTTGATCCACGCTTTATCCGGATGGATGTAGTCAAGATCCTCAACAATCAAAGCTAGATCCATTTGGATCAAGTCAAGATCCGAATAGATCAAAGGTGGATCCATGAAGATCAAGCCTAGTTACGATAATAAGTACTAACGGAATGCTAATTGAGTATTACATATATAATATCTTTAGCTTTTACTACAATTTACATGCTATTTTAGTATTTCAAATGGATATGTGTCTTTAGATTTCTGATTTATATACCTGAATACATGAGTTAGCCTTGTTTGTTATAATTTGATATATGTAAAAATTCTGGTAATACATATTGGTTTCTTATCCCCTTCTACAGATGAACTATGAAGATTTCTGTCACATCGCCTCTCTTTGCACAGAGCAAATTGGTCCAAAATGTCGACGATTTTTTAGCCCTTCTAATTTCATGAAGTTTGAAAAGGATGAATCTGGAAGAATAGCTATCCTGCCTTTCTATCTTTATGTGATGCGGACGGTATCTTTGGTTGCTTTACCATTGAATTTTTTATCTTAACAAATTATATTACATGGAAAATTCCAACGTTGTTGCTGGTTGTAATCATTTTCTGCCAAATATACTTTCCCTATTAACTAATAGATTTATTTTTAATGAAAAAACTATTCTTGCCATTTCTTCGTTAACTATGTCCTTTTTTGTAATGTAGCACTTAATATTGTCAGCTTGAACTATGAACATCACCAACTAGGTGACTGCATTCTAGTGTGTCATAGATCATACTAATGATGTACAGTTTATCTGAATGTCCAATTTTTTATTGTTAATGCAGCATTGGCAGTTGTGAGGGCATGTAATTGTAAAATCAGTACCAGGGGCTTTATTTTGATTCTTATTATAATTTTGGATCCAATTCATTAGCTCATGTTCTTTCATTTTTCACTGTCAAAATGAATAATGATGGCATGCTTAATTGGTTAACTTGAATAACTTGATTGCAACAGTCAGGGAGCTAGTATTAGAAGGATTATGCTGAATGTTACAACTTAACATTCTCGATAAAAAGTTTGCCACATCTCCTTCTCTGCCACTTGTATAATACACAACTTTAGTAATGATTTGATTATATTTTTATCCAAAGAAAAATATTTTGGAGTTGTGTATCTTTCTGAAGTTGATTAACTGCTAAAGAAAAGTCACTGTCATTGCCAAAACTTTTAATGGTCAATACTTGATGATCTTCTTCTGTTTAACAGCTCATGAAACATGGATCATCTCGATAAGAAAATACTATTGTATGTAGGACAGTAGGAGTCTCATAAGTCATAAGTACTGGAACTTAATGATTTTACTAACAGGTTGCTAATGAAGAACTTGTACATATAGTCATAAACTATCCTGAGAAAGGTTGGATTGAAAAGAAATATTGGAACAGAGTAGTTCAACAGTTGAAAGGCGCCTCTTTGGTTACTGTTCAATTCTTAAGATACATCTCTGATCAATTGTTGGAGATTCTAATATGGTCATTGTCCAATTCTCATTCATATTCTTGAAATAATTTTAGATATTCTCACTGGATATGTGAAGTGTCTGGTTCATCTTTGTTATGCATCAGGTTTCACTTACACAGGCAAGAATCGATATGAGTGAGCTTGATGAGGACTCCGATGGTTTCCTTCAACCTCATGTAAGAATGCATTTATTTTGGTGTATTGATATTTGCAATAGAAGTAGATGCTTGTGACACCATTGTAACTGCAGGAAATGGAGGCCTATATAAGAGGCCTTATTCCTAATCTGGCACAGCTCCGTGACATGCCTGCAGCCTTTGTTCAGATGTATTGTCGAATAGCTGTACGCAAGTTCTTCTTCTTTTGTGATCCTCATAGGCGAGGTTTTCTACTTAACTCTTCCTGTATACTGAAAGATTGATTGAAAATTGCCATAGGAGGAATCGCCAAGTTTTACAGACCCAGGATAACATTAAGTTTTTTTTTTTTTGAATAATCATAGGAAAGGCTGACATAAAGAAGGTTTTGCTGAGCAACTGTCTACAGGAGCTCATGGAGCTGCACCAGGTAGCTATTTTAATGCAAGATCCCCCTTCCCTTATGTTAAAAAAATATTCAATTAACAGTAAGAAACATGTTACAGAAACAACCCTTCTATATTTAGAGGGAAGACTTCGTACTTTAATCCTCTCCAGACTTCGTATTGGTGGAAGCCTTGTGCATTGGATATGTCTTTTTTTAATGATAACAAATATATAACATAGACCATTGAATGTTTTCTGGTGAGAGCTTAGTAACATGGTGTGTGTGTGTGTATATACACATATACATACATACATACATGCATACACACACACACACACACACATATATATATATATACATACATATATGTATATACATACATATATATGTTATATATATATATATGCATATATATATATATATATATATACATACATATATATATATACATACATATATATATATATATATATATACATATAGAGAGAGAGAGAGAGAGATTTAAATTTCACATTTTCCTTTCTGTCAAACAAAAAACACTACCTCACACAATTTTGATAAAAAGAAGCAAGTTATATTTGTTACTGTTTCTTATCGAAGTTTGGTGGACATTTAAAATTAGATGATTGATGAGTTTTTACTTTTTCAGTAAATTACTAAGGCAAAAAGTTTTCGAGGATTACCATATTATGGATTGCTAACTACCATATGCCACTACTTTTATCTTGATTTTTGCATGTTTACTTTGTTTAAGTAAGACTAGTGGCTTCTTCTTCCAATTCTTCTCAGTTTTTGGGGTGAAGAGCTTTTGTTGGTTTGCAATCTTGTTCTTGGAATCTTGGAATTTTGGTGTTGTAAAATGGACTCTTTACCTTATTGTTTCCCTCTACAGATGAATGTTACTATTGGTAAAATAGAAGATAAGTAGTAAAGCTAAGAGACTGATGAAAACAATTCTTTATATCACTGCAAAGTCAACAAAATATTAACACATCGTGCATGATTTTGCTCCAAAATATTACGACAATTGTCGCACTAGGTGTTTGTTACTGGTATCTTTTGCCGCTGAAGCATGTTATTTATAAACAAAAGCCAAAGAATGGCCTAGTTCCAGTGAGTATTTAGTTAGTAGAAGATTCAAAGATGAAAATAAGAGCTTAAGGCGAAAAGATAAATCTTAGGGCTTATGGGGTATCTTGTATGTGATTATTGAGAACTTAGGTATCTCTTCTAGATTCCTGTTAACCCTCAACTGAATTGACTGGATCAATTCAAACCGGGTCGAATTTTTTTACGAGAATCATATGAGTTTGTCAAATATGATTGATTTGGCACCTGGATTGGCAGAATTTGGCTTAAATAAACTAATTTGGAGTGACAGACTCTAGCAAATGCCGCTAATTTTCTGGTTGGAATGGTGACTGAAACAGTCTTGTGCCAAGAATTTGACTTAGTTATGGTTCTATCAGAAAGCAATGCAGAGAACCAATAGATTGTTCAACAAAACAGGGATTAAATTGCCGTCATGTGCATTGCAGTAGAAATATCTGCAAGGTCTAACAATCCAAAACCTATGTGCATAACCAAGATATCAAAACTTTACCATCTTACCAGTTGTCATACTAGAAAGATTTTTTTAACCTTTTCCTAATTCAAATAAAACATATCCCTTAGAAGAATATTTAGCTATAACAGTTTCTGTAATTGTTACTTTTTTCCTCAAATGTATGAATAGTAAGGTTCTGCAGCTCTATATTGTGGTACAGGAAAATTTAGATGCATCAGACCCTACTTCTGGTTCTCTATTTGATATACGTTTTGACTGTTCTTTAGGAAAGTGAAGAAGAAGTTACTGATACTGAACAGGCAGAGAATTGGTTCTCTTTAACTTCTGCACAGCGTATATGTGGTATGTCGTGTATTTTTTATTATCTTAATGTCTTTCTGCTTTTATTGTTGGCTGCATATTCTGTTCCCTTCATGGACACTAAAGTAGAGCTAGCCAGGTGCTATTAGATATCTCATATCAAGTTTGATAATGAATTTTATACATTCTGAAGTACAGATCATTTTATGTAATGGTATTTACTCTTAGAGCCTGCTTTATCACATGTTAGGAAATCCTAATCCTTTAGTCCTTTAAGCATAAGTTAACCCTTATTCTCATATATACGGCATACTCCATTTTACCTTTTAAAAATTCAGAATCAGACAGTGTGACATTAAGATAGGTGTGCTCCAACCATAGGGTGAGAAGAAAGCTCAGTTGGCTATAAACTAGTAGATTTGCTTTTTGACTGTTCAATATGCCTCTTCACCATTCCATTGTTATGCTTATAAGGTCAGGTTTGGATCCTATATTTATGTATGTTATGATGATTAGCTAGCATCCAAGTAGCTGTCAAAATTCTATCATGAATTTACTACTGGTATCATATATAACAGTAATTTTGTGGAAAACAGATTAATCTAGGAGAGACAATTTTTAATTATCATGGTCGTTTGTGTTCATGTATCTTGTGAATTGATGTGGTAAAAGCAATATGTAGTGGATGTGAACCAATCAACACAGAATAGTTCAACTTTTTATTCTTTCTCTTTATGTGGGATTTTCCACAAGCATCTGAAAGATTCTCAAAGAAATTATAGTCCAGTGATGAAACTGAAACATTTGTCAAATAGGCCAAAATGACAGTGTTGCAACATTATCTGGGGCCTCCTTCTAAACTTCAATGCTGACCCTTGTATGTCCAACCTGAGCATTAGTTTAGCAACATGACACAGTTGAGCATTGCTGACCGTGGATTCAGGTTGTTCAACATGAGAAATTTCTAGATGAACACAGTTGTTCATTTGCATTTGTGTGGAATAATAAATGAGAGCTGTAAAAAATTAATGTGTAGCATTAACCATTGGTGTTGAACAATCACAAGACAGTTATCAATGAACTTTTGTTGTTTTTGTTCTTTCTGCCAAGAAATAGTAAAGAAGGTAATGAAGCTCAATTACAAAAAATTTAATGTAGATCAGTAGAGGAATATTGGGCCATTGACCAACTTAATCATGGTAAGTACTGTAGAATTTCAGCATAATCTGGAAATATCTATTGAAAATATTGCAGAGTTTCCATCTGAATCTGACTTTCTGAGCAATAGACAATGCTTCAGATGTGATGGCTTTCATTGTATGAGAACATTGGTGTCACAAACTTTATAGATTATGACAATCTATAAGCTTCATAGATTATCAGTAATGTCCCAGTTAACTTTATAACCTGCTTATGTTGATAGCAATGATCCTCCCTAATTTGTCTTCTGATACTAGCAATTGAAGGATATTGCAACTACATGGAATAATGGCTTTCTAGGGTAACTTGCATTTACAAATTAGGATATTTTTTGTGTTTTTCTGGATATCAAGGGGTATGAACTGAGGTATATTTCCTTTTAGATGTTTTCTTATTGTGTTATTATTGCACAGATATGTTTCTTGCTCTAGATAAAGACAAGAATGGAACATTAAGCAAGCAAGAGCTCAAAGAATATGCAGATGGGACACTGACTGAAATCTTTATTGAGAGAGGTTAGTTTCTAGCACTCCATGCGTAGTAAGCTCATTTTTCAGTCCATGATCTTTTAAAATATTGTAAAGAAGCAAGATATGCAATTTCGAATAATACCGCTCGGTATGGGCGGTATGTACCAGTCCGTCAGCTTACTGGTACATGGACCGCCCGTTACCGGACGGAACGAAATATAAATAAATATATATATATATATATATATATATATATATATATATATATATATATATATATATATATATATATATATATATATATATATTATAAAAGGCGACGTCGCGTCACCGAGGCGATGCGATGTCGCCTCATATATATATATATATATATATATATATATATATATATATATATATATATATATATATATAAACGAGGCGACGTCGCCCCGCCTGGACGAAGAGAGAGGTGACGTCGCCGAATTATATATATATATAAACACACACACACACACCCATATATATACATATATACACATATATACCTTGAATAGAAGTACTTTGTTGTGAGCTTGTACTTCAGATACGACTTCTATTTTTACAAGTTGTAGGGCATATGCAAAGAATTTTTGAAGTTATGCAAAGAAATGCTGTTAAATCTTTGATACTTTGTTATTCATTCATATTTCATTCACCAATGAATTGGAAATATACGCACCATCTACTAATGCAATCCACACTCATTATCAAAATTCTTTATCTCTCAATTTCGTTAAAGGGTTGCACCATCAACGTACCTTCTATAGCAAAAAACAGGTTCACTTTAGATACTCTTTTATGGAGAATTTTATTTGGTAGCATTAATATAAAATTATTTGTGAAATGCAAGGCTCTTGAAACAATCATGCGCAAATATCTTAACGAGGGTCTAAAATTTATTCAACTCCTTTATGGTAATGGGTATTGACAAGGATATGCAAGCCGTCCAAGTACTCCATGAGAAAAATTCGCAGGAGCTTGTTGAGAGCAATAGTTCTCTATAGATTTGAATATTGTCAAATTTTTTGAGTGTCATATATGATAGCCTACAATTAGTTTTAATTTTGTCTTTGTTATTCCATTATTTCTTTCAGTTATCAGGATATTATTCTAAACCTAATTATGGATTTCACTACTGAAGTAAGAATTCCTTTTGTCGAAAGAGGAAGTTCAAGGCTGCAATGAACAATAAGAATTACATTGATAGAAGAATTAGGACTGTGTGCACACAGTTTTCAAACTGATTTTCTGATTTATACATCTTTTACGTCATGCTGCATGCTATGACTCATTTGGGAAGCTTAAACCTTCCTAAACTAGTAAGAATTTAATAAGATTTTATGCCTTTTTGTTTTTGTGTCAACAAAATTCTTTTTCTCACATTTAGTTCAAATTCCAGAATTGCTAGCATTCCATACTTGCTGCTTGGTATTGACCATTAACTATTAAACATATCTACTCTTTGTGTGTGCTGCTTTACCTTTCTACAATTCTAGCACCACAGGAACAATCTTCTTAATGCAAGCTTACAAGAAAAGAGAGTTCAAAATTTTCTTTTTATTTTTTTGGCTTCCTGTTCCTTTCCTTTCTTGGTGTGTGACATGGATTTGACAAGCATTCTTTTGTTAAGTTGCTAATCTGGCATTGTACCAATCCATATACAACTTTCCATGATTCTCCAGACGAATAGTTCTTTGCTGCTGCTCCTAAATAAATATGTGGTTATATTTTCTTTCTTGTTATTATTGAACACATGTCAGCCTTGTTATTGTTCTTCTCTATGTTTTCAGTTTTTGATGAGCATGTACGTCGAAGTAAAACTGGCGGGGGTAATTCTCGTGAGATGGACTTCGAAAGCTTTCTGGATTTTGTTCTGGCCCTGGAAAACAAAGACGCACCCGAAGGATTGACGTACTTGTTCAGGTGTCTTGATCTCCAGGGACGGGGCTATCTTACAACAGCTGATGTTCATACCCTCTTCAGGTGCTTTTCTTTGATTATATGTCTATTGTTACATTGCTTTTTAATCCTTAGTGTGATCTCATATGATCCTGTTCATGTACTACATGTTCATACATTTACTATTTCTTATATATATGTATGTTCATGTTGATCCACATGCATGTACTTCGACTGCTGACATTATTAGCTGTAAGTTTAGTATGTTTATTGTATTACACTGATTTATTTTTCTTTTGTTTTTTTCCTGATATGGAGTTTCTCCTACTACTATTAAAATAGTACTGCACCTTTGTAAATATGTAGTTTTATAGCCCCCATTCTTTGCAAGCGGCTTTTATTAAGGGATGTGGTTTGTTACATTGCATAATTCCTATTAGCTATGCCATTTTCTGGAGCGAATTATGATATTATTGAAACGCTTATGATCTTGCTAGTGACTGTTTATACTCCTAAGATCTTTACATTAAATGGAGGCAATATTGGTGACTAGAGAATCTTTTCCTGGATAAGCAACAGTTTGGTATTTCATTATGTTTTGGTGCAGCCATGCAAATATGAACATGGGGTAGTGTCCTCGTAATTCTGTCCTCAAACTTTGATTTGATGGAAAGAAGTACCTTCTAAGTAGTACTTTCACATTCACTTGGAGATTTGCTTTAATTATTATCATGGTAAAGTTAATCAGCCAAAAGCATTTCCTTAACAACAGAAGTAACTATTTCAAATGAATATATATCAGTTTTGCATTGGAAATAAACAACTAAATGAGATTCTGAATAGGCCTTGGCTTTTCTTTGCTTCCAGAAATACTAAGTGAACCTTGAAGTTTCAAGATGTAAATAGATAAGTTATTGGCAGATTTGAGAAAGGTGGTTCTCTTATCAATTTTGTGCTGTCTAGCGCAAACAGGAGTTTAACCACACATAGGCTTAGCAAGCTGTAGAAGTTTGGAAGCTCCAAGGATTAATGTGGGTAGGATATTATCTCTATGAAGTATGAATCTATTCTCATATTCAAGTTGAACTCTATATATTTGTAGAAATGTGTATTTATCACATATTTGTATTCATATCTGAAGACATACATACATAGGTTGAATTTTATCTATATTGAAATACTCAAATAATCAAAGATACCTCAAACTTAAAGTGTTGAATTTTCTTTTATTAATCAAAGAAAAGTTGTTAATTGATTGAGTTTTCTATGTATGTTATTTTAATCATTCTTTCATTTTTTCATAATTGCTATAAATAAAAAATTTAAATTGTAGGTTGAAATTGGTTTTTATATATGTTTTTATGTTATCTGCAATTCATGTAATATTTGCATCGTCATCCTACTAAATATGATTTAAGCTCATATCTGTTATATATATGTTTGTATTCATGTCTGCTTGGACAAATATGGTTAGAGAATTTAGTATCTGTTTGATATCTGTATCTGTATACATGTCCCCCGAGTCGAAGTGATTATAGATATGACAAATCCATAATTGAATCTATATGTTGCATAGATGGCATCTGTGTTTAGGCACTGAAAGCAGGCCTTGAAATATCGACAGAAGGCCATATACTGTTCTAGTGTCTAGGCACTGAAAGCAGTAACTCTAGTGTTTCCTCTTCCTGTTTTGCATTGCTAGCCTTGAAATCTTCCTTACGTTATGTTCCTTTTGCCAGAGATGTGCACCAGAAGTGGATCGAGGGTGGGAACTATGAGCTCTGTATTGAAGATGTAAGAGATGAAATCTGGGACATGGTCAAACCCGTGGACCCTCTTAGGGTCACACTTGCTGATCTTCTTGCCTGCAAGCAAGGTGGCACGGTCGCGAGCATGCTCATAGATGTGCGTGGGTTCTGGGCGCACGACAACAGGGAGAATCTATTGCAGGAAGAGGAAGAACCAGAGGAAGAATGATTTGCTCGCCACATATCTGGTCTAGCCATCTGAACTGAACCAGCTTGTAACATCTGAATTTAATGAATAGCCAATCATCAATCATACTCTCCTTTCAAAACTCTTCTTTTTGGTATGGGATTCTGACTTAATGTTACCTCTGGGAGAATTTGAGCTAATGAGCCTGCATAACATCTCAATTATACTCTCTTTTCCAAAACCTCTCAATGCTGAAACTGTGTGGGGTTAAATATGTTCTCTTGTTTCTCTTTTTAGTTTATCAACATTGACTACAAAACAAGGTTGATTTGTCTGTCTGCTACTTGTTTGTCTAAGAAATGGTATGAAGAGGTATATGAGCATTGACAGAATACATGTTTGAACCTAAAGTTCTGATAGTTTCATGGTGTAATGTTCTGATACTAATCCAAAATAAACATATTTGAGAATATATATATATATATATATATATATAGAGAGAGAGAGAGAGAGAGAGAGAGAGAGGAAACGTTGACTGATATCCTTTAATGCAGCACATGCTACACCGACACGAACAAAAAAGCATCATGAAGAGCAAGCTTAGTGGATCCATAAAACCTTGTGCATGTTCTTGATGGTTCGAGGTTAAAATAGAGAGCAAATAAGCGCAAGTCCCGAGATTACATCACTCTGTGCCCTTCTACACACTCTCTCTCTCTCGGGGCAGTAACCTTAGCCTAAAGGAACCTGCAGAGGCGGTTCTGATGAGTTGACCTCCTTTCTTTATTCTCATTTCATTGCTGTGAGCTCTGATTAGTTGACCTCCGAGTACATCAGATCTAGCATCTGATTCCGAGATCAAGTATACCTAATTCCTATATAATCACATGAGTCTCTTCCCATGCCACAGGAAGTGCTACATGCTTCTGCACCGGCCTTTCACACACAGTACTCTTGTCCTCCACCATCTTCCTCACTCAGCAGCATCCAGGTGAGAATGGAGTCCCAGTTCAGGCCTGGGTTCGATGGAACCCAAGGCTACAATGAAGGCTCGCCCCCGTCGACGAACTTACCGGGCTACATCCTTCGCTTCCTCGCCGTCGTCTTCACCCTCATCTCGACGGTCGTCATGGGTGCTGCCAAGGAGATCGTTACGCTTCTCATTCGTGATCCTCTCACCAACGAGACGACCACCCTCATGGCGACGGTGAAGTCGACGTACTCCGCCGGATATGTGTACGAATCTATTCGTTTACGTTATCTCCTATGCAGCTTCACATGAAACTGTACCCATTCATGACGCTCTTCTCTCTCTCTCTCTCGTCGTTTGGTTGACTACCAGGTACTTCGTAATAGTCAACGCGGTGGTCTTTTTCTGCTCGGTGATCGCGCTGGTGATCTCGATCGCGAAGAGAGCTGGGTCAGGCGGGACGCTGTTCGCACTCTCCGTGGCCGACCTGGTCATGCTGGTTCTTCTCTTCTCAGGCAACGGCGCAGCGACGGCGATCAGCGTGGTGGCCGAGAACGGGCAGGAAAACTTGGCCGGATGGGACCGGATCTGCGACACGGCCAGCAAGTTCTGCGCGCGCGTCAACGCCGCCATCGCCATGTCCATGCTTGCGTCCGTAGCTTACCTACTGCTGGTCTTGCTGGGGATGATTGCTCTCAGGAGGAGGTCTTACTGAGCTCCGAAACCCAAGTAGCTTAGATCACCGATGCTTGTTCTACTGTTGGATGTCGGCGAGAAGAGGTTGAACTATGGATTCTTGCGTGTGGCAAACATTTACTGGAAAATATGGATATGTGACAGAAACTTAGAGACGAAATAATAATTTATTTTACTTTGCTAAAGATTAAAATATCGAATCAGACATGTTAATGAGGTTTCGAACCATCAACTTTTGATAGGTGGATCTGATATATTATTACCGATGAGATATATAATGTCCAAGTGTGATATTTTGAACATATTTGGGTTATAATCAAATCTTTAAAAATAAAAAAATATTTCAGTTCAATTTCTAGAAAAAAAAAACTCATGTTTTAGAATTTCATGCACTAAGTTTGAAAAACTTTATAGAATATTATTTTTTTAAAATGACCATTTTACTCCCATCGATCATCTCCCTCTGTCTTTTGCTCGACTCTTAGGTACGTCAATTACCCCCTTTTGTCGGTCCCGTGATAGAGGTGTAGGCTCTGCAAACCCTTCATGACCAACGATTAAGGTTGTGAGAAAGGGCGACATCCGTCGACAACCAACGACGAGGAAGTGGTGCAAGAAAACTATATTTTTATACATTATGGGTAAGAAGAATATTAAATATCCGGTATTTTATGATCCTTTTTCCATCTATATAGTAGACATGATTAATTTGACAAAAATTTGATGTCCCCAATAATATTACGATTTTGCCACAAGCATTAATGAATCAGCCCGGCTCAATAGAAGGCCAGCTGAGCCGGACTGGATTGGGTTGGATTAAACTAGGCGAACCGGGCCGCTTAGTGGTCGTCAGTCAGTAAGTTGGCGGCCCATTATGTCGTTACAGAAATCTCTGGAGCGCTTCCTTCCCCTGTTCACTTCCCCTCGATAAAACCCTACTCTTCTTCCTCTCGCTTCAGCTTGCCGTCGCCTTCTCCCAACCTAGATCTGTCACCTTTACCCTTTATTTCAATTCCTTTGCTCGAGATCGACGAGGGGGAAAGATGTCGCTCCGGGTGTTGAATCCCAACGCCGAGGTGCTGAACAAGTCGGCGGCGCTCCACATGAACATCAACGCCGCTAAGGGCCTCCAGGACGTCCTCAAGACCAACCTCGGGCCTAAGGGCACCATCAAGATGTAATCCTTCCGCCGCTTCCTCTTCTGATCCCTTTGTCGTCTTTACTTATTGATTTTGTACGCGCAGGCTTGTTGGAGGGGCTGGGGATATCAAGCTGACCAAAGATGGCAACACTCTACTGAAGGAGATGGTATGATCTCTGGAAATACTCGTTAAAGGTTCGCTTACTTTCCCATTTACCCGAGAAATGCTTCGGTAATCATTTTGTTGGATCGGCAGCAAATCCAAAACCCCACAGCCATTATGATTGCGAGGACAGCGGTTGCCCAGGATGAGACTAGTGGCGACGGCACGACCTCCACTGTGCTCTTCATTGGGGAGCTCATGAAGCAGTCAGAGCGGTACATCGATGAAGGTCTTTCCCAGTTAATTTTCTTTGCTTTTGTTCTGGGTGAACGGGCTGTCCCTTCCGAGATTTATTATTTTGGTTATTGTGAACAGCACATTGTTATTAATTTGGTGATTGGCTTTTATGCGTGCTTGCTTCTTTCCACTTTGTTACACTTCGTCAATATTAGAAGGTTCACTATGTGTCTCAAAACTTGTAAAAGAGTACCTTTATTTTTTGATTTGTGCATTGTGGATCATATAATTTCTTTATTGTAATTTTCCACCTATGGAAATAATGGACGCTTGATTTACTCATCCGAGCTCAACCACTATAGCACCTTCTTTACCTCTGTAATTTTACATTGATTGGAAATGTGGGGACAATTATCTTAGTGGGGCAGAGATATCAAATTTGCTTAGACTCAAGGATGCAATACTTTGATGCATTGTCTACACAGATGCTCATGGTGATTATCTTGAATAATCAAACAATTCATGATAGAAAAACTTGGATGATGATTATGATTATGAGCCAATCGTTTTGAAGAAAATGTGCTCTTCTCTGAGCTAAGATGAACGTTTTGGTAATTGGGCTTTCTGTGGAGCAACTATATTCTTATGAACTGAATACCTTCATTTTAGTTTTGCATAACTCATAGTAGTACTAACACGATGTAAATTTTACAATTTTTGTGCTTGTGTAGTTTGTTAACGTTGAGCATTTCATGCTAGTCAATTTTAAGAAAGTTTGTTTACCCCTGGTGTTGCAGTACCTGATTCAAAATTTGCTTTAAGTGAACTTCTTTTAGTGTCCCGGTTTAATGTTGAGCGTTACATATGATTTTAGCTCATTAGAATGGTTCTTCCTCGGCCCATAGCTTCTGATCTTTAAAACCTTTTGAATTTCCACTCAGGAATGCATCCACGGGTACTGGTAGATGGATTTGAAATTGCTAAGCGGGCTACCCTTGAATTTCTTGAGAAGTTTAAGACACCTGTTGTAATGGGTGATACCCCTGACAAGGAGATATTGAAAATGGTAGCACGGACAACTCTTAGGACAAAGGTAAATGAGTTTCTTCTTTCTGTAGTATACCTCTGAAGTGTCAAAGGTAAACAAGTTACGTTTTCCTCTTTTGACCATGGTTCTTGAATTTTTCTTTGTTATAGTTATACGAGGGACTAGCTGATCAACTGACAGATATAGTTGTTAATGGAGTAAGTACCATCCTTAATGGTTGTTTTTCCTTATTCTTCTTTGATGATAAACGTATAAAAGTGATAACTGACATTCTCTTTGGGTTCTAGCATGTTAGGAAAACTTGATATTTTTCTGTATGAAAAACAAATTTTCATTTGATGACAAGAAAGTTGCGTGTATCTTACACTGCAGTGCCAATGTTTCAGGCTGAGTGTTTCTTTAATGAATCGCTGACTAGTAGTTTCATGCAGGACATATTTGCTAGATTGTGTTTTCTTCATCATTGATGTTTGTGTCACAGTAATATATTCTGTTTTGTCCTTTTAGTAGTTCATTATATTGTATGCAACAGTTATATGCACTTTAGGTAGGTTCATGCCAAACATTTTGCAAAAAAGTACTTTATGCTAAATGTATGTTGTGGCCTATCTATTATCCATCAAGTACATCAAGTCACCTATTGGCACTCGACACGTATATGCTTATGTGGAACCTAACCTTTTAACATTCTGTAGCATGAATTTGGGCATGTGACTAACAATCAGTCATGTATTATGAATAGCAGGGTTCATGATATGTTTGCCTCATCTATTCTAGATTGATCTTTTCTGAATAGAGGCTCAAATTCAATTGGTACAAGTGCTCTTTACTAAGGTGAAAGAAGTCCAGAGTTCTCAATTTCGATGTGTATTGCTCAATACAGGTGGTACGTATCGGTTTGAGATGATACTGGTACACGGACCGCCCTCTACCGGGCGATACCAGTGTTTTGACCTCATACCGGGCAATATGGGGTATGTACCGGGCGGTAACGATCGAAATCCAACTGTTACCAAGGTGAATCAGTTGGTATGCTCTGGATTTCAATCGTTACTGAGGTGTATCGAATTTTGACCATTACTGAAGCGTACCAGTAGGTACACCCCGGTATTTTTGGACCATTACTTTTAGGTATTTTTGGAGATTTTTTAACTCTTTTTTGTCATACTATCGGTATTCTCTGACATATGGTATGCTTTGGTATGTACCGTACCAGTATACCGGTATGGGCCAAAATTGAGAACCTTGGAAATAACACATTATATAGACATTTGAAATATTTTATGGTCGAAATGAAAATTAAAAGGCGAATAAATCTGAATTCCTGTTTGCTGAATTTCTTCCTTTAAACTTGCTATAAAACCTCTCACGTAATTATGCTTATATCTGCATGATATACAGGTTTCTTTTGATATAATACATCATAGTTCTGGTGAGAACTTTAGCTTGCACATAATCAACTTAACTAGGTATCTCTCTAAGATCGACCAAATATCAATTAGATTAGTGGGATCTTGTAATACCTTTGCATATCTAGAAAATCAACCATAAACAGTTTTAGAATCCCCGTGCCACGATTACACTATAATACAAATGACCCAAAATGATCTTAGGCTGATCGAATCAGATCAGCCTGAAACTCTGGAAATGGCTGCAAAATCCAGTTGGTTCTTTTGATAGGTTGGAATGGAAGCTATCAATTTTTTTTTCAGCTGAAACACATCAGTTGCACCTGGAATAAACTGTATTTGATGCTTATCTTGATTTGAAGTCTTATAATCACATTCTTTTTCTTGGTCTTAAACTGCAAAATTGATTTCTTGTCTCTTAGCTTTAATATGATGTTTTCATTTGATATTATTTTGCAGCATTGGTACATCAAAATTTAATCATTTTATAACTTTTGAGTTCCAAATAATCCTATATGAATATTCTTTTTAGTGTATTCTTGATGCTTGTAAACTTCAGTTCCCGTAACTGCATCTTCCTTTCTGATGACGATTCTTTACTTTGACATTAACAGGTGCTCTGCATACGCAAACCTGATGAGCCTATTGATCTCTTTATGGTGGAGATAATGCACATGCGTCATAAGTTTGATGTTGATACACGTTTGGTATGTTATTCTTGCAAATGATGATTGTCTGTTGTTCACATTAGATGTAAAATGCTATAGTTTAACCTAAGGTTTGCCTTATCGGTCCGAGCCGACGTGTCGGCTAGTCAACGACACATGTACCGGTCTATACTGGTGTATCGACACATGGTACACTGGTAAGTATCGATGTTTTGAAGAGGAAGAAAAAAGAGAGAAGGGATGGAGGAGGGAGGAAGAAAGAGCGAAGAAGAGGAAGCGGCGGAGGAGGAGGAAGAAGGAAGGAGGAAGAGGAAGAGGAGAAGAGACCTTACCTAGGACGTGGCGGTGCAGTGAGGTCGCGGCAAGCTGAGATCGCTGTTGATCGCAGTATCGAAGGTTATGTTCGCGAGCCTTGCGGAGGTGGAGGTGATGCTTGTGAGCGCTGTGGAGCCTTGCAGTTTCCCACTTCCCTTTTATATGGTGGACCAGACTGGGGTGGGTTCGTGGACCGTGTTAGCACTCTGACCGGTACATGCCCTTTGTTTCATACTGGTCTGGGCGAAACAGCGAACGTTGGT